GTGGGGGTGGGGTGGGGGAGGATGGGATGGAGTGATAAGACAGAACAAAAACCCATCTGAGAAGTTATAAATTGTTGTAATTTCCTATTTCATAGGAACCTTCGCATCTGAATCTTTAGGATACCAATAAAAATAAATTAATATGAACTTGATATCCGTTTCAATTATGAAGCACAGCATACCTTCATCTGTCTGCTTTGAAACTCCAAATAATGTCAGAAGAAACACAAAGCAAAGCACTGGTCCTTTGTACATCATGCTTGGCATGTATCACATTAGCGACAAAATAACGAAAGAGGATAAAAATGTGATCTCTCTGTTGGTACTTCTCAAGACAGTACACGGAAGATGGGAACAAAGACAGCCCTGCCTTACTAATTTACATCACTGTGCACCTCTAGTATCGACATATAGAACCCAACACACCGTGTCAGTGAGAGATGATTTGCTTTGTTATTTTATTCATATCCCAAAAGGAACCTCAACTTTTTGTGACATGTCATTACTGCGCCTTTGAATTCGTACCAAGTCCCTGCCCTTTGCCATGCCACTATCATCGTCACTGATAAAGTATCTGGGTAAAAATCAGCTGATCGGTTGCGTATCAATCTGGGCTCATACTCCTACTTTGTGTTGAAGAGGTAGCTGTTATCTTTGACTTTCATATTGTGTATGTGTTACATTCTGCCTACGTGTGCTCGACATCATGAAGTGACCTGTGTCTTTAACTTGTCTCAAAGTTCAAATTCGATTTTTATTGTCAAACAGCCTCCTGATCGTTCTATTGCTATGAATGGCCTATCACTCCGAGACAGGATGTGTTGTCCAAAAATTATTACACAACAGCAATCAGAATACGTTTGAGGGTAATTAGAACGTGATTTGTGTGTATTTATTATTATTTGTTAAAAACCTCGAACATCTCAGACTAATAATACTTTTTTTTAAAACTCAGTGTTTTTTTCTCTCATAGCATGCAAGCCCAATACAATAGCCTACTTCTTGTGGTTAAAATTTTAAATTTTTTTTTTTAACGAAAACAGCACAATACACATACAGACCTACGAACATGCATGCACACACTTATAGCCATACTCACTTACGCTCGTACTTACTCAGACACTCAAACACACACACACACACACACACACACACACACACACACGCACACACACACACACACACACACACACACACACACACACACACACACACACAACCCCCCGGGGCAGTGCCACTGACTGTAGTGTCTTTAGGCCATTCCCTAAGGGGGACTTTTCTCGTTCGAGCATAGTAGAATTGTAAAGGGCTGACTCATGTCACGCTCAAAACTGTGCCTGATCTACAACAGGGAACTGCTGCTTTTTTTTCCTAATCCTTACTGTTGTCATTTTCCTCTACTTCTTTTGTATGTTTGTCACTCTTTTGTGACCTGCTATTTCCGGGGTGCCTTGATAGTCGAAGCAGACCTTGTGCTGTTGAAGCTAGAGAGGTGAGCAGTCTAAGTCTGATTCCCTGTAAACCGCCGTATAACCCTCTACTATAACACACACACACACA